CCCCCCCCCGCTTTTGCGCGCCCCGAAAGCGGCATCTAAATCTTGGGTGATCTGTCATGTGAGCGGCTCCATTTAAACAGTTGTTGAACACGAGACCTTTTATGCAAAGCGAGGCGAAGACCGGCGGAAATCGGTCACGCGTTTGTCAGCGAACAAAAGGAATCATTTGAGGCCTTTAATTGTTTCAATTTAGCATGGCGTGTTCTGATATGTCTCCATGACATGAAAGCCAATTACACTTATTCTGGAGTAGCATTCGGATTTACATGGAAATGCCCCCGGAACACTATTCCGCGCTAATCGTATTCACAGCGTGAGCTGATCCGCATGAAGGCGTCTCGTCGGCAGACAACAAACTTGGTCCTTGATTGGGTGCGGCACTTCTCATCATCCTCGGATATGACTGGGCTGCCACTTAAGCATAGACCCGCCAGTCGGCTCGGTTAGTTAAGACACCGCGCGGTAAACGACAGATTAAGGATGAGAGGCAATATCGTTTCCTCTCCTCTTTTTTTTTTTTTCTTTCTCCCCCTCCCAAGCTGTCCTTATGTCACTGCTGCAAAGTGCCATATGGACAAGGAGCGGGGAGGACGTTTTACAGGGAATGAAACATGGCTGGCGTACGAGACGCTCTTAATTGCTTTAATTGTTGCTTAAAATTGAGAGCCGTGTAGGAGAAGCTGGAAATATGATAGAATAGATTATTGGTAATTATTAAGCGCAGACAAAAGGAGAAAGAAAGCCACTTTATCTCACTCAGCGAGCGCGGGAGAAATCTGTTCTGCCTGATGAGAACACATCAAGACAGCTGGTCCTCTCATTTAGCCTACCTGCCTCACGACAACCGTAATTCTTTATTTGTATGCAAACGAGATGCATGCGACGTCGAGCATACACACCAATTTCAGAGGTAAATGCCCATTCTAAGAACCACCCATCCGGTAACTTGGGCTGGATTAAGCGATATGTTTCTATAAGAAAGCATGGCCGCATTGCTGGAAGTGGCTTCTACAGTGATTCATCTTGATAAATCAAGCGCTGTGCTAGATATGCTCCTCAGGATGAAAGGACCCGTAAACACGCGCGCGTGCGCGCACGCGCTACATACGCCGCGCCGGGCGGATGCAGGCCAAGCGTTGGAGGCCGCCGTTTGAAGGCAACCGAGGCTGTGTTTACATTCATTTACGGCAGCTGCCGTCTTAATCCCGCTCGGCTATTGCCAAGTGATGGAACACTTCAGACAAATTACCGAGGCCCGCGAAAGAAAACACAGTGAATGTGGGAAGAAAACAAGCGCCATCTGAGATGTTTCTGCTGACAGATTTGCATTGCTTTTAAGCGGGGTTCTAAGAGCCCCGGTCAACAAATCTCCGCCTTCTACAGCAGGTGACAACCAGCGCCTTCCGACGTGCCTTTGTCACACTGAAAGCACTCGAAAAAAAACGACGAGAGGGTCCGCTTTCCAGCATATTGCCTCCCTGTGTTCTAAAAGCAAAGAGAGCAGCCTGGTTTTGCTTGAGAGGGATTTGGTTGCGAGTGGCGAATTCAAAGACAAGATAAAGACGCGACAAGCGGGCCAAAGCCCGCCACCTAGCCCGCAGCTCGGAAAGGGAGCGCGACCGAGCGGGGGG